GCTTCTCGCGGAAACCCAGTCGAATCTTCTACGCAGATGACGCTGCGCCTGCCTTGCTTGGTTCTGACGCTTGTGATATCAGCCAAGATGCTACTCCTCGGTCGGAAGCAGGGCAGCATTGTGTCCAGGCGGGCATCTGGGCCTCGGAACGCGGAGTCACCTACCATCTCTTCCGAGGCGCAGGGCACAGCGTGTTCATGAAGAAGCCACAGGAGATGTTCGCCTATGTGCGGGACGTTGTCGTTGCGGATGTGAATGGTTGAGGTAGCACATCTAAGCCAAATCAATCTTCACAACTCGTGCACTTTACAGTCGTAAAGTACAAAAGGCTTATTTTGGATAACAAAAAAATGGCATCATGCGACCCTTCTCATCATCCATTCATGAAACTAAGCAGACACGCTATGCAAAGATTTTGTAAAGATACATTCAAACGCTGAAACCCAACTCCATGTTCCTTTCGCCTCTAACAGCAAGCCTCTTCCATTTGATTCCCATTTTTCTTTTCTTTCCCTTTCTTTCCTTTTTTATTCCCGAGAAGAACGAGATCAACAAGAATGCGAGGACATGTAAAAAAGTTCAGAGGATCAGACATTCAGGATCGAGATCATAAGACTATGTAGTTGTACAAGTGAGAAATGATATTGGCGTAAGCGGGCATAATAAGCGCCGAAGCAGGATCTTGCATGGCAGCACGTTTGTCTAGATGGACCAGCATGTCCAACGTCGGACGGGATTTCACACGAGATGCATTCTGCGAGGTAAAGTGATGCATCTTCCCAGATCAATAGGAAAATAATCTCCGAGCTGGAGAACCCAGCTGTATCATCTCAACGCCGACTGAAGAAAGGTGCTTGGTTGGGCATTGAGAGGAGTGAATCTGCCCGCTGAAATACGTCGCCCTCGAAAAATTTGTCACTATACGCGCTAGCAGGGGTTGATGGCACGGTTGCCTGCGCGGCAGGACCAAGAGCAGCGCTCAAGGGGGTAGCGGGAAGATGAACAGATTGCGGGGAGAGACTCGAGTTAACATGTAACAAGTTGGAACCTGACCCGAATGTTTGATGTTGTGTATGCTGCGATTGCAGAGGCGGTCCGTATATGTTTGCAGCTCCGTTGGCAGTGGTCATGTCTGCGAGGTACGACCATGGAGAAGCTTCGATCAGCCGACCAGCTTCCCTGCTGGCCCTTTGAACTGGACGAAGGAGAACGACGATGTCAGGAGGCAACAGGTGCATGCTTCTGACCTCTCTCATATCATTCACAAGATCAACGAATGACTGCATGAAACCTTTGCACAATTGCCAGAACTCGCGCTGGTTACGCATTCCCCCGCCCGGCTCTTTTACCTTCATATTGGAAAGACGCAGCCCGAGCGCCTCAGATACTTCAAGGCAGAAACGGCAACGGCGAATCAGGTTGTTCCAAACCATCTGAAGCCCTTCAGATTCGCGAGTTTGCTCCGCTAATTCGAGACATCGGATGAACTGGCGGCGCGCTAGAGGCAGCGCCTGAAGGGCAGCAGTGTATGCAGCAGATAGCTGGTGAAATATCTTCTCAAAGATGCGCTCCTCTTCTATCTCATCTAAGCCAGTGAGCGGGTTAATTCGGGGTACTACTGAGGTCGGTACCGGGGGGAAAGATTCCCCTGAACGGGGTGTCGCAAGTGATGAAGGCACGGATGAGTTAATGAGATTGGACCTGCTGCTTGACCGGCTCCGCGCTCCCAGGCTATAAGGTGTTGATGCAAAGCCTGGGGAGCTAACTGCCGACTGATAGTTCGCCGCTGCGGCTAAGGGCCCATTAGTGGTAATTCGAGGGTGTTGTATCGTGGTATCGCTCCTGTAGCGGCGCACTGACAAGGACCGATTACCGCGTGTCGGAGTCAAGGTCGACCCAGTGAATCGATCCGACAGGACAGGTTCTTTAATGATTTCGGTCACCGGCGGCTTTCCTGCGGAAAGCCGCTTTTCAGATTGCAGCGGAACCCCCAAACTCACGCAGGCGTTGCGAAGCTCAATGATGCTCCCGTGAATCATGAGCATGAGCGAACGGACGTAGCGCGAGTCGCCATTGGCGACGATCTTTTCAAGACTATTTCGCAACTGCGTGCCCACGTGGCTATAAGCTATGATACACGTCTCACATTCTCGCTTGACGGCTTCGTTCGTCAGCTTGAGCACGTCATGATCGTCCTGTTGAGAATTCTCCGCGATCTCGAGGGCTTCATTAAGTCGATCAACGTGTGTGGAAGCATTGTAGAAGACGATCTCCAAACTATTGCGTCGAGAGTCATCACGTTTTATGACGTTGATCACAGCTGATACGTGAGACTGAACTTGAAAAAGGGCAAACAGAATGCCTTTGGCACTCTCAATAACCGGGTCTCCAGCTTCCCTCTCGCCCTTGTGTTCTGGCAAGCTTGACATTCGATTCACAAACCCGTCTTTCAAGCGCCTGCGCTCCCGCGGGCTACTTGGGCTAGAGGAATTGCTGCCGCCTGCGTTGCCCACTGGTCTTGATCTGAGAATTGAGCCATGACTGAGTCCACGCAAGTGACTGTTTCGATAAGGTCGTGTTTCATCGAGGGTTCCCAAGTCAGTGTTCTTTCGCGTAATGACCCCCATCCGCTTGTTGCGTGCGGCGAACGATGCTTGGATAATGCCTTCGCTGTTGCTTCGGTTGCGTTCATTCACTCCATGGTACGGGGACGCGCCGGGTCGTTGAAGGATACCACTATGAAAGATCGGCCCTTGTCCAGATGCTATACGATAATGGGATTTGAGCGGAATCGGTGGAGGCCTCGCAAGGGATGGGGACTTGGGATCGGAGCCTTCACCTGTGCTAGGAATCACAGGGAACCGGCTGCTGAGCTTGCGCCTGACGGGCTTTGGAGTGTCGAGAACACCCTCGCTTAAAACCTGTCAGCTGAAATCGCCAGAAATATTGTGGGATTCCACTGTACCTTGACTCGCTTCCTCGGTCTTGCTCATGAGTCTGTCTGGCTTTGAGGAATCTTTTCAATTCTGCGGTAACGGCGACTTCCTTCTCATTGTCTGTCATAGCGGACGGGGTGATCTCGGTCTCTGAAGTCTCGAGAACTCGTCTTAAGTGATACCGTAGTGGGTTGCCCGCAACCTTCAAAATCTGGAGCTTGTTCATTTCCGAGATTCCAATTGGCAAATCATCTAGTCGATTCTGCATTATCGAAAGTACACGAAGCGAAGACAGTCTTTTTATCTCCTCAGGAATGTGGCTGATTTTGTTGCGACTGAGATCTAATATCTCGAGGAGCGGTAGTTTGTACACCTAAGATACCAATCAGAACTTTGGTAGCTTATGAAACAGATTCCCTGATGACACGTACTCCCCTGGGAAATTCGCGAAAATTGTTCGCTCTGATGTTCAGATAACGGAGGTGAGAGCACTCGGCGAAGCGATAAGGAATGTGGAAGAGATGATTATTCGACAAAGACAACCTGATAGCCATCAGTTTCTGACAATGTGATATCGATCATGGTTTCCATGTAGCCTTCCGAGGTGGAAGCCTTTTATGCATAGCCGCACATACCTTTCGACTTCGTCTTTGATCGCATCCACCACGGCCTCAGGAATGCGAACGATGTTGGAGTGGCCCAGATCAATGGTCAGTTTGGGCTTGACCACATCACTGACAGCCTCACTTCCTGCTAACGAGCGTTTTGTTTCCAGTATTCCATTCTCAACTGCACGGCGAGCTAGCTCGATAGTTTCCTCCTGCGTGAGAAGCCGCGGTCCTGGGGAATGCTTGTTGTTACTGCTGCCATTTTCACCCTGAGTCTCGTGGGAATGAGATATTTCGTCATCGCTTTTTGTCGCTTCATCGTTGTGGGAAGAGGACGATGATGAGGGAATATTTTGCTCCGGGGTCCTTCTGTTTCCATCTTCCTCGTCGACATCACCACGATATGAGTGAGGCATCCTAATCAGATCTTCGGACCGAACCATTGTAGAGAGCATGTTGAACGACTGATTGAGGAGGAAAAAGAAGATTCTAACTCGAATCTTAAATGTCGGCTGTTACGCCAAGTAGTGATCGATCGCTTGCAACCATGAATCAAATGGTCTGGAATAGCCGAAGATTTGGATGCGGGCAGAAACCCAGCATGGTCAATGGAGGTTGCTTCGAAACAAGAAGGAGACTGTAGAGGACAATAATCGAGCGTCGTGTTGCAGCAGATTTAGTCGTGGAAATCAGTCTAGGCGTTAGACAAAGCCCGATAATTCCGTCTGATTTCAAATCGACGAGTATTCGCACACGAGGAAGCAAAATAGCACAGAAAGGCTGAGGATCTGTTATTTCTGTTAGATAGGGCTGACAGATCGACAAGTAGAATCGGACTCTCTGAAGTGGCTCACAGCGAAGGGTTTCAGGTTAACGAACGGCGTTGCGATCATGTCATGCCAAACAAGAAGAGAAAGGTGAAACGCGGAGCAAGAGGCGCAACTGCCCGCAGGAGACGCCACCACAAGCCAGGTCAATTAAGCCTGGACATAGATCCAGCTAACAAAATGAGAAGGCGACAATCTTGAGAGTGATTGAGGATAACATCGACAGCTGAGTGTGATGTTAGGAACAGCCAGAGTTGAACCAAGCGATAAACGAAAGATGGGGAAGATTCCAACAGCGCGATAAGTCGCGCTGTGTGATTGGCTGAACAGTCTTGCCGTATTTCACCCAAATGTTGTACTGCGATTGTTAAAGAAAAAACCAAGAAATATATGACATTATGTAGAAAAGCAAAATCATAAGGTTGCATCCGAGTAGATGGTATTGCCAATATGTGGAAAATACATACAGTGCGTGGTAAGGAGGACGTTAAGAAAGACAGAGGTCGAAACGAAAGAGCAAAGAAATAGACCAAATTCCAGTAGTATACATGATGTGTTTAGGCAATAAATCCCCCAGTTCAGTTGTGAAGAATATGAGGCTTCTGATAGTCTCTTCCTAGGGAAACGTATTATACCGGCAGTGACTCCTTTTCTTCAAGCCCTTCCACAGCATCATCACGGGCGGCAATCTCTGGAGCACCGGTAAATGCTGCTGTTCTCTGTTCCAGCATTTGCGCTTCTGTCTTGGCCCATGCCTTCCAACGCTCGTATTCTTGGTTCTCCAGCTCCATGCCAACCTCCAAAAGAGAGGGCCCGAATGTTGCTCCCGTTGCTTCCGCCTCCTCCGCAGCGACTCGCCGTTCAATATCTTCTTGTAGTCGTAGTCGGTAGAATTCACGACGGGCAATATCATAAGCAGCGCTCTTTGTCATATCGGGAACATTGTTTAAAAGCCAAAGCTGCCGCTGAACGACACTGTTGAAATCGAAAAAAAAGTGGTCAGCATCCGTGCTTGACTGACTATTGCTGACTATTGGGGCGCATGCATCTCAAGCAATTGGGTTGCATGGCACATACCTTTCACCGTCCAATTTCTTCCCTGGCTGCTGGAGCCGGCTCCAGTCATAATGTTCGGAATCCTTGCCGGTGCTTTCGACAAGGACACGGGGTCTAGCAAGTTCCCAAGGGTGGTCACGGAAGAATTCCTGTCGCAGCTGATCTTCCTCATATTTGATTTCTGTCGGCAAGAACATACGGCTTGCCTTCTTTGGCTTGATTCGTTTCTCTTGAACCTCGAAGACGACCTGCGGCTTCGAGGCACCGGGAAGCGTCTTCATGCGCTGTCGGACGAGCTGATGCTGTTGCGGTTGGTTTCGCACAAGGACCTGAGCAGGTGGAATGTCGGCCACTACATCAAGCCACTTCGGGGGAGCGCGAATCTTGCCAGCAGCATGCTGTTGCAATGCTGTTTGGCGAACCCGAAGTGCTGTGAAATTGTATTTGCCCATAGTGGCTGGGAGAGACAGCCTCGGTAGGCCCTTTCGGATGTGTAATTCGAAATTTCACGACAACTTCTGTCCAATCTTGGACGAATACGCCTAGACTTGAGGCCTCCTTTTTCTGTTTTTCGCAACGCGATGGGCAATTCGGTCGCTCCTGGTCAGCTTCTGGTACTCTGGAGTTATCAAGTGCGGGAGTAAAAAAGAGACCTGGGCGGAGAGAGAGATGCACGGCTCCGATTGGACCGACCGACAGGCTCCGCCCAAGCGCAGAGAAAGTTGAGAAACGGAAGTTCTCGAGACAATCGACGCAGAACGGCATAATAAATAACTCGCTCGCTGGGGAGAGCTCCAATATCATCACTCAATTACCAGCTGAATACTTACTTGCATTTGTCTGATCAACCCGCCCCTCATCGAACTCACTGCTCTCCCCTGTATCTCGCTGTTCTCCCTTCCACCTTTCTACCCCATCACTCTCCGTCGCTTGAAGAGCAAACTGCTCTACCCTCTTCAACCTGCTCGAGAATTCCTCGAGGCATGCATGGCTGATCCGATGCCACGATGTCTGCCGTCTCATGCCTCATCTCAATAGGTCCCAGAGCTCACCCGACGCGGGAATTCCTCCTTTGCAGGCGTCGGATACGTGCTTTTCCCGCAATTCCCGCTCGATGCCAATCTCAGATACACCATCATCCTGCTACAATGCCTCGATTAAAAGACTCGGGTCTCGCCGTGTTCGTCCGTCCGTTGCATCTATAGCCGACATTTTCGTCAGCTCTTTGGTCATGGCGAGTTTCTGCCGCGATCACTCTCCTCGCAACAGAGGGCTTTCTACAATGGCTGTCAAGACTTCATCCCATAATATGGCTCGTATGAAAGGAAAGAGCCTGACAACCATCAGGCGGCTGACGTCTGGGAAGCGCCCGGTTCCTTCAAGCTCGCCGGTAGAGTGCCTTGGCTTTGACAGATTGCGGACGCAACGAACATTAAACTCGGGTGTCGTCCAGAAGGTTAAGGATGATGACCAGGGGGAAAGCTATGGGGTTGAGAAGAATGTGGCTTGTTTGAACCAACGGCAAGCAGGTCGGAACCAATGTCATAATAGCCAGTCTGCACTACCTCGCTCGGAGGAAAAGTCATTCCTGGATGATACTGGCCCCTCGACAGAGCCCTATGCTAGCGCTTCTGACGAACTTATGTCCAACCAAATGAGAGGTCAGTCTGATGCACTGGAACGTTCTACTCATCTTAAAGAGTCATTCTCCGGGGAGCAATCAAACGCCTCGAGCTCGGAGGCGCATCCTACAATGTTGGAATATTTATTAGGCCAAAAGAAAGCGTCCGATCCGGATGCGGACTGTCCACAGAATCAAGCACCACCGCTCAAAGTCGGAAAAGATACCAGCAGAGACGCCATTGAATTTCAAGCCGTTGAGAGATTCCTTGAAGCGGTCGAGGATCCTAAAAAAACAAATCAGTATATCTTTCGTCTCTATAGAGACCTTCCGTCACCCGGTGTGGCTCACCTTTCGAAGCGCACCCGTGGTCTTCTTTTGCGTCGAATGTCCCAGCCTCCCAATCGTCGTTGGGCTGATGCACGCCGCTATCTAGCTCTAGTGGAAGATATGATTGCTGCTAAGCTTCCATTGTCTCCCGCCTTATGGACCTCTGCCATTCACCTGGCAGGCAGGGCGATGGGTCATGTGAAGAAACAAGATCTCGTACGATCGATTGGCATCTGGCAGCAAATGGAACACTTTGCGGGTATTAAGTCCGACCCGGTGGTTTTCACTATTTTGTTTGATATCGCCATCAAAGCGAGTCAGTTCACAGTGGCAGACAGGTTGCTTCAAGAAATGTCAAAGCGCGGCATTGAGTTCCGACGTGCCGGCAAGGTCTCAAAGATATACTATTATGGAATGCTGCGCGACGTCAACGGTATCCATCGGGCATTCGATGAGTTTCTAGCAGCAGGGGAAATCGTGGATACGGCGGTCCTCAATTGTCTAATGACATCGTTCATCAGGGCCGGTAAAATCCAGATCGCGGAATCACTGTACCAAGGGATGATGCAGGCGCAGGCGGCTGCACGAACAGCTGAAGATACTGATTACGAGGGGGTGCCGACTCACCGACCGGCGCTTGCTTCGGAGTTGATGTTGTACCGGAAAGCAGCCAGGGAGCTTAATCGTGCTTTTGAGATGGCAGCTCGTATTAAGCACACTTTGCCAGCACACCATCGCGCCCTACAAGACTCCATTCCCATGAGCCCGGACACGCGAACATTTCACATCTTTCTTTCTTACCATGCAATTCACACCGGTAATCTGCAAGCTTTCTCGAAGATTGTAGAGGATATGGAGAAGACATTCGCAATCCCACCTCGCGGTATGATATATCTGTTACTTTTCGAAGGCTTTGCTCGCCATGGCCGAAAGAAGAAGGGCTGGACCGCGGATAAGTTACGGTTCGCTTGGCGATCTTATGTTCATGCTCTTTACGAGTCAAGGACAAGACTGAATGGCGACTTCTCCATTCACCGACCTGCCCTTACTTGGGAGAACCCATTGAAGGCTGACTCCGCGACTGCACTGGCAACGTTGGCTGATTCTTCTCAACCCACAATTGGTTTGTACACAGCACTGCCATCAAGCACTGCCGAGATCAAGGCTGTTTCGAACATCAGTGAACGGATGGACGGAAACGATGTCCCAAGTACCAGTGTGATTAAGGATACTCCAGAAGAGAACGACGTCCTAGGTAGGAGCGATCACATGGACGAAAAAGAAGCTGAAATACACGAGGGTGAACACATTATAGAGCTCGACGATGGTATCGATCTCGACGTCGACGACCTCTTTCTCGCCCCAACAGAAAGCGCGCCGAGTGGCTCGGACCCTATGGAGCACGAACTTGGGCGCCGGATCGAGAACGGAGTATTCCTGGGCCGTCGAATGGTTCTCCTGATCATTCGGGCGTTTGGCACCTGCTGTGGGCCTGAAGAGGTGATGGACGTCTGGCTGTCACTGGAGCGCATCTGGCGGCCTCAAAAGCGCAAGGCGCTGGATGTTCTCGCTGTCAAGGAGGAGCTGAATAAGTATATCAAAGACCTTACTGGGCGCTGATGGCTGGTAGCAACAGTGCTTTGAACTTGTATATTATCTATTTGTATATAAATACCCTTAGGGTAAAGTCAACTGTGACATATAGACGAACCATTATGTGCTCGGCAAGCCGATATATGTAGAAGGTCAACCGACTGGTCCTGGGATCTCGGCTCCTGCTGTCTCACGACGGGCAAACGATACGAAGCCATATAACAGTCACGTGATATCGCGTTCCCCTTCTCTCTGGCATTTTCGCGTCAACGCGTTGTGAGATAACTCGGCCGAACAATTGTTTTCCTCACCGTCCATTCTGAACTCACTTTTGGTCTCAAAGATGCAGAGATGCTTAACGGCGGATTGCAGCGCCGCAAAGTAGACTTGGATTTCTACTTGCACCGTGTCTTCCGCAAGCAATCCTTTCGGTAAGTTACTGGAATGCTTCTGCCGCATAGGACTCGAGATAGCACTGACATGCCACACCTTGACCCCAGTCCTCTTCAACGTGAAGTTATTACAGCGGCGGTCGAGGGCCATGACGTCTTCTTGCAGGCGTCTACATCCTTTGGAAAGAGCTTGTGCTTCCAGCTGCCTGCTGTCCTCAGCCATGGCGGTTGGTCCACCCTCCACCATTTACGAAAATGACATTTTCACTAAGGCATTTCCTTTGTTTGCTTATTCTGTTCGTCAACAGTGACCATTGTTGTGTGTCCTCTTCTTGCTTTGATGGTGAGTAGTTTCTCTTCTGCCGTTCCCGCCTTTATCTACATTTGCAGTCCGTTGAGTGTGTCCTCCAATAGACGGATCAGGTGAATGCACTTCAGGCTCTAGGAGTGGCAGTATCCACCATCAACTCGACGACTCCTTTGGCTGAGAGACGGGTGATCACAGACGATCTTCTTTCTGGGCACCCGAGAACACGTCTCCTTTACGTGACGCCAGAATTATGCCAGACAGTGGCGTTCAGGCGGACTCTTCAGACTATGCATTCTCAGGGGGAGTTGATTCGCATAGCGATTGATGAAGCGCATTGTATTAGCGAATGGGGCCACGACTTTCGTCCGGCGTACAAACAGCTTTCTTGGTTCAAGCGTCATCTGAATGAGCCGCCAGTCCCAATCAGTGCTTTCACGGCGACGGCAACACCACGTGTACGCGCAGATATCATCAACATCCTTGGATTAGAGCCTGCTCGGCTGAAGTTCTTCAACACTCCCTCTGCTCGGCCGAACATCCACTATGAGATCAGATACCTTGAAGATTTTGCTGAAGACCCGCTTGAAATCGAAAACTTTCAGCTGAACGACCTCCACTCGTGGTTGAAATCCATCCGAGCGCGACGGGAAGCTAGGCTAGATTCTAAGGACGCCGTACTTCGCCCGATTTTCGGCATCGTCTACGTGCCTTATCGCGTGATTTCTGAACAGCTAGCCACCGCTCTCACAAAAGTGTCTGATGGAAACATCCGTGCAGTAGCTTATCACGCCGGCCTTTCCTCCGAAGACAGGAATCGCGTGCAGACTGAGTGGACTGCGTCAAGGCCTTTGGCTGCACAGGAAGGGCCCCATCCAGCATTCTATATCATCGTTGCGACTAACGCATTCGGTATGGGCATTGATAACCCCCACGTTCGCTTTGTGGTCCACTGGACTCCTCCTCGCAGCTTCGAGGGTCTCGTTCAGGAATCTGGCCGTGCAGGTCGAGACGGCCGCGCCGCCGCCTCCCTTGTCTATTATAACACCCAAGAACGAGACCGGGTCCTCGATCGCCTGCACAAGGACGTCCAGAACGCCAAGATTCGAGCTGGTATTAAAGGCAACAACAGCAATGAAAACCCGGACTCATATACCAAAGCCGTGCATAACCTGCAGAGTCACAGGGCCCGGCTGCAGAGCTTCAAGCAGGTTATCCGATACTGTGAAACAGTGACCCAATGCAGACATGAGCTCATCAAGGACTTCTTCGGGGACCAGGAGCTCGAGATGATGGGCTCCCAAGTCGCAGGCCGACACGTCATGACCGACGGCGCGGCCTCGTCTCCTTGTGACTTTGCGTGTGACTTTTGCAAATTTGGCACGCTTGAGCTGAGAAGACGCAAAGCGAGGATGCCGCCTCCAAGCGACCCTTCAGCTTTCATGGATTACAGCCTCGTTCAGATTATCCGAAGAATGTTTCCTGATCTCTACTAGAATGCTTGTTATCGGTGGTCTCTGATAATTTAGATCCATGCAAGGACCTGAACATGACTTGGCTCTGATCGTGAACGGAGTGCATGGCTTTGCGAGGACGGTATGCGTAAAGGTGTTTTTTGGCAGATCTTGTCCTTTCTCTATTAGATACCAGATTCATTAGAAGCTTGCTATCAACTGAAGAGGATGTTGCAGGTCTCAAATCGAGGTTCGTGATTGAGAATATATTGATAAAATCCCAGTGATAATCTACAAGTGTCGAAGGCCAACCACACTCGATTAATTGACTGCCAAGAAAGATTATTGTAAGAAACGAGATGGGAAGTTTGAAAGTATTCATCGACAATCTGCTCGACAAGTAGAATAAAGACTCCTCCCTTGCGAGCGTTTGACTCAACTGTTACTGCTCCGTTATGTCAGGTCAATATCCTTGGGAACCATGGCATAACATTTCTAAAGACCGGGAGGTGGTGGGACCTGATTGACAATGTTAGTACTCAATCTCTATTATTGAGCTCAGCTGATGCTTACAGCACTGTAGCTGCCACCGCCAGGAGGCGGCGGAGGGGGAGAGCCAGAGCCTGGAGGTGGTGGGGGCGGGGCCTCGCTAGCTGGAGGTGGTGGTGGAAGCGCAGGACTTTGGGACTGGGAAGACTGCTGCTGTTGCTGCTGCTGTTGAGCGGCCTGTTGGTAGTACTGGTAGTATGCTACGTAGTTCTGGTAGCCACCGTAGGCCGCATAGGGGTCGGATCCGTAATACTGCGCGTACTGTGCGCTATAGTCAGCCGGGCTTCCGGCACCAGCGGCACCCGACGTTCCTGATGCTGCCTGTGCAGGGCTAGCCGTGGCAGAGGGCGAGTTGGAGTGGTGCTGGTTATGTTGGCTAGAGTAACCACCACCACCGTAACCGCCTCCATAGTAACGGTCACCGCCACGTTGACCATATCCGCCATAGCTGTGCTGAGGCGGATTTTCCTTGAAGCGCTGATATTGTTCCCTGACATTGCCTAGAAGATCCTCACAGAGTTCCTTAGCAGCCTGAACATCATTTGGATCCGGGCCGCTTCATTCCGTCAGTCAATCGAGCCAAATCAGAACGGGGAGTGAAATTGTACTTACGCTACGTGCAAAAACATGGGCTCATCGCTTTCCCTGCCGGTGCTTGGTTCCAAGAAACCGGATCCACGACCCTTGATTTGCACCTTGCAACGAGTCTTCTGTTGGATGTGCTTCACATATGCACCTCCTTGGCCAACAACTTGAGCTCGGAGATTGAATCCAGGGATCGGTTCCAGATCAACCGGAATCCGTTCCTCGGGCCATTTACGCTGTACGCAATTAGCGCCTTCTCAAAAGTGAACAAGTGAACGCGAGTCCATACACGGCCGTATTCATCACGCTCAACTGGCTCCGGCTCACGCCGACGGAATCGTCGCTCGTCAACGAGAGTCGGTAGCTCCTTCTTCATCAGGTCGTCGATCAAGGCCACGGCCTTTTCGAGGCCTTCTTTGGTCGTGCTTGTTACGTGGAGGTACAGCGGCGGGTTCTGCACAAATCTTATTAGTAACAGTTTCACTCTGGGGGAAACAGAATGAAGGATAAAGCACATACCGCGGCAGTGGCCATGCTCTTGTCGGGATAATAGCTTCCTCGGGTAGTGACATCTTTATAGTAAGACTTGATGAGCTTCCTTCTTGATCAAAAGTTTGACAACAATATAATGTGGAATGAAGGCGTACCGGCGCCAGTTTGTTCTTTAATCTAAATGTCACGCAGCGGAGGTCAGCAGATGAAAATGAGGGTAAGTGAGATGCTATGGGTGGTTTGATTTGGGTAAGCTTTAGCCACGACCACGAAGAAGAAGAACAGAAATGAAAGGGAAAAGCAAGACGCATGGCTGTAGCGGTAGCCAGCTTGCACAATAGTGCCTGGAATATCAGCAGACGCAAACAGGAATAATTACCATCTTTTGGGTGGAACCCTTGGTCAATGTGTAGCGGTTGCGCAGGTCATTAATTTCGATATCCTTAATGTAATCGCCGTCAGCAACGTAGATTTCAGGATTCAACTTCTTCGAGTCGGCGGCAGAGGGCGAAGCGGCGTTCGGTGTGGGACTGGCAGTCTAGCAAGAATACATGACCAAGTAAGCAACAGTCGCATCATGAGCACAGGACCATTTCGATCTCTCACCGAACGTATGGGAGGGACATCGACGTGCTGGATTCCTTTCTTCGCTTGCAACTGAGCGTTGATCTTGGCCGCTGCGGCAGCTGTTCAGATTTCACCGACTTGTCAGCTCTTTCGAATAAAGAATGAACTTCGCCGACTTGTTGCCACTCATACCTGCTGCTGCTGCAGGATCTACAGAGCCTGATTTCCTCGATTCATCAGCGCCAGGGCTGTAGGGTTCACGACTGAGAGGACTGCGAGTGCGAGTGGATTCTGGCTGTCGCGAAGAAGGAGACCGAGAGCGACGGTCAAATCGTGAAGCTCGTCGCGGCTCAGGCTCCGTCTGATCGAAGCGAGAGCGTTTGGCACGGCGTTCGTCGTCAGCCATAATAGGCGAAAGAAATGTGGGAAGAGGAAGTATTGCGGTGACTGGACGGGCGCAATCACAGAAGATGGTCCAGAACAAGCCCAAAATAAAAGGACCTTAAGAAGTCCAAAAGCAACAAAAAGGTTCGGTGGAGTTAGAAGATCAGCCCAATAATGGACGCTAGTGTAACAACGAGCAGCACCGGGACACTTTTTTTCCTTCGGGTACGGAGTATGGAAAAAAGACCAATCGCAGGGGAGCTTTAGTCAAGGAGCATCTAGATAGAGGTTGATGAGCTCTGAGTGAGGCCTGATCGTAAGCAAATCTAGTCCGTGTCATACCCTTTCGAGATGGGCGATAGTGACAGAGCTCTGCAGCATTTCAGCAGACTGATCTTCTGTTATGTTAACGTTGAGGACAAAGACACGAATAGAAAGTTGGCGATGTGCAGCAGCTTCAGATCATGTGCCTCTACCCCCTGTTCACACTAGTCCAGAGAAAGCCTAGCGGTATTGTCACGTTGGTAAGTGACATACGCCGGCCTGAGTCAGCGCCCCCGACGTCGGAAGTCTGCGAGTATAAAATGCGATTTATGACTACAGAGTACCACCACTGACTCCCTCTCGTCCCAAAAAAAGACTCCATTGAGTCGGATCAGCCTCCCTTGTTTTGCCTGCTTTTATCGCAGGCCAATTCGGGAGATCATGACTTTCCGACGTGCTCTGATGCTGTCGTCGACAGCATCAGCGCCCTTTCTAGCAGTGTCTTCCAAAACCTCCCGAGTAGCAGCCAGTCTTCCCCGATTCACCACAACCAGAGCCTCGTCCAGCTCGACCTCGGCACTGGCCTACAAGGCCTTGCATCGTCGCTCTCCTCTCCCTCTCCCTGTTTCCGACGCCTCCCCGCAATGGGACGCCCCCACGGCCGTCTCGTCGATCCTGTACGAGACCCCCGTCACACCGACCAATCCTCCGAAGCGTCACATCCTTAATTGCCTGGTGCAGAATGAGCCCGGTGTGCTGTCCCGCGTGTCCGGGATTCTGGCCGCCCGTGGCTTCAACATCGACAGCTTGGTCGTCTGCAACACCGAGGTTGAGGATCTGTCTCGCATGACCATCGTGCTGCAGGGCCAGGACGGTGTCGTCGAGCAGGCCCGCAGGCAGCTGGACGACCTCGTCCCCGTCTGGGCTGTCCTCGACTACACCGACTCCGCTCTGGTGCAGCGCGAGCTTCTGCTCGCCAAGGTCAGCATCCTGGGCCCCGAGTTCTTCGAGGAGCTGCTCCAGCACCACCGCGAGATCACCACGCCCGGTGACGCCCTGGAAGGCCAGAAGGACAAGGCTGGTGATGCGCAGACCAAGAAAGTCGAGTTCCATCCCCGCCATCTGCCTCCCAGTCAGGCGCTGAGACACAAGCACGAGCATCTTGATGCTATCACCCGCTTGACTCACCAGTTTGGCGGCAAGGTTCTGGACATCAGCACCAACAACTGCATTGTTGAAGTGTAAGCTTTACAAGTCTGCCCCTTCATAATTTGCGATCTAGCATCGACTGACATTTCCACAGTTCCGCCAAGCCTTCTCGTATTGACTCCTTCCTGAAGCTTATCAGCCCCTTCGGTATTCTCGAGTCGACACGAACTGGTCTCATGGCCCTTCCTCGTTCTCCTCTTTCTTCTGAGCCCAGCGAGGAGCTTGAGAAGGAGGCTGCCGATGTCGTCGATGCTAGCACCCTTCCTCCTGGTTAATTTCAATGCCCGATACGAAATGATCTGCTATCAAAAGCAAAGTTCTCAATTTAAATCGAAGCCTTGTGAAATTGACCACTTTCCTCTGTAACAACTCATAATTGATATGTCTTTTTGTGGGAATATCAAGTCGATTATTTCATTCTGAGATTAGTGTCCTGCTTCGTGCTTGTATATCCTATCGCGTTCTCTCTTGAAATCCCGCTAGTCGCGTGTTTAACTTCCATTTAATGAGGTCTCAATCCGAAGACTGCTAGCAAATCTGACTTGGTACTGGAGGGAAAAAGCATATTGTAGAATTGGGCTCATCTGTACGTATTCTCAGATCACCCTGCAGTAGAACCCATACCCAAACGCCGACTTTATACCAAAATAGCGCCGAAGAAAGTCCCCTAATCCCAAAAATACATACTCCAAATTAGATTTTCACATTGGCCTGAATTCCCTTGCCGTGATAGTCAATTGTGGCTGTATAGTGGCCTACCCGAACGTCAACCGTGGCCATTGCATCAAGTTCAAGTGACCCTCCCAGAGCTCGTTTCAGAGCATCGTAGCCGATACCATTCGGATTCATCTCGACAGGCAACCGTGGCGTCTTCGAGACGCCCGGGGGCACCTGGAAGGGAATGGAGTAGTCAATACTGCCGATCTCTTCGTGTCCCAAGTAGTAAGCATTGGCTTGTAGAGACATGATGTCTATCGGCGTCTTCGGGAGAGGTGAAAATAGGGTGAACTCGGCAGTGGATGACCAAAGGTGCAGCTAAGAGCACACGCAGATTAGTCACCTGCTCAAAAAGAAACCTGGTCCGAGAACAATCGGCTCTATGCAAAAGACACATTGCCCACCGGTGACATGCTAGGACGAATTTGAGGCTCATGAGAGAAAAACGGCTCCTATGAAGGCAGGTAGTACCGTGGCTTCTTGAATGAATTTGGTGTTTCCATCGTCACCATTGGGTGTCTTGGGCGACCCCGGAATGGACATCCTGGGAAGTTGGAACTCAAAGCCCAACTTTGATAACGCTCGCCCGAATTTAGGTAATGCTGGGATTGTTCCCTCATGACCCTGCACCGTCACAGTAATGTTGGACCCTAGACGTTGGTTAGAAACCTGATGGATGATATAGATGATTTCAGATTCTATGTATCTTACCTGAGGCACATTTTGATAGAAATTCTCGGCCGGCATCTACACCATCCTGACCTCCTTCGGACGGCTCCCACAAAAAATCGACCTGAATCGTACTATCTGCCTTCGAAGCCAACGCAATGTCTAGGGCGGTGATATGAGCCACCTTTGTCCCATTGTACAACATCATAAAGTCGGCGTAAGGTACTGATGCTGAGTATTCGGTGGGATTGGTGACATTCACTCTCGTGTTGACGAGCATGGAAGAATCGGTTGTAGGCCCAACTTCGAGGGACTCCAGCCGTGGCATCAATTTATCGAAAGAGCCGGAGTACGGAGCTACACAGGGATCAGTGATCTATTTCTTCTCGGGGTTGTCCTCGCCGATGTACTCACGCTTGACCTGAACAGCTCCCTCGGCCGGTATGCCTCTGACAGCAAACTGGCCAAGCCCCGTGGCAACTTCCGCATCGACCGCTGCAACGACACGCAGATCAACGGACTTTCCTTCAAAAATCAGAGATTGGAGAATTTCGGTCAAAGCATCTTCATCAGTGACTTTTAGCGGTGCATCTTTCATCGCAAAGTTTACGAACAACGCCGGGGAGCCGTCTGTATCTTTGATATAACTTGCATTGGCGGGCTGCCACTTTGGAAGATTCATGACTCCAAGTTTTTTTCCATGATAGAAGACATCAGCATTGGCACGAACATGTGGGATGTCTATATGCAGGTTTATCTGCTCCGGCAATGCGACAAGCACCTTGACCAGGGCCGATATTCTTGGTTGAGATTCTTCTGAGTCTGGCTCAGCGAATGGATCTGGAAGACTAAGATGCACGTCTGACATCGTGTAGTTCTTGACCAGGTTGTCCAGTGCATGTCCTGTGAAGGGCATTGGTACTGTGACACCCTTCAAGATGTCTGCAAGCCAGGGTGGAGTCTCCAGAGATGGGTTATCAGCTCCACGAATGTAGACCGTAGTTTGGCGGCCGTCCATATAGCTCTTGACGAGAAAATCAAGCGGTGAGTCTTTTCTTCCGGGACATGCTGTTATCAATTCATCGGAGAGACCTTGCATTGTACCAACCACATTCATGACAGTACTATGACCAGGTTCGACTTGAAATTCCTTTGTGATGGCATCTGCTACCAAGATGTTGGGATCCCCCGGCGAGCAATTCGGTACGAGCAGCTCAAACCCGAGCGATGGGATCGTCAGGGACAAAGGAGAATCAATCGACGCAGTGAGCGAGACATCAAACGCCAATGCGCCACTTCCGCCAGGGGTATCCAGGTCATAGACATTCAGCTTCGAGATTTTGACGTCAGGCAAAGCAGGGAAGTCTTTATCTACAGACGGTATCAGCAATTGAGCAATTCTCTGCCAATGATGAACAACAGCAGCGGGTGGACGGAACTAACCTTCGAATGTCACAGAGTCAGTCACTATTTGCTCACCCAAACTCAGTAAACCAGATTTGAGATGAACAGTGGCCTTTCCATCGACCCTGAGCTGACCAAGTCTCCCTCCGACCCAATCGTCTGCCACCGCACGAATACCTTGAAGGTCTCCGGCGGTCAAATCTGCCAGAAAGTCAACATTGTTTGTATGGCCGTTCTGAACATTCACTTTGATGGAGGGCAGAGAGGCCGTGCCGGCGAGAATATTTCCATAGTCTGGAAGGTAGACCTGCACCTCCGACTGACCCGTTTCGACTTCCCTGCTAATCCATGTGACCAAACGGCCTAGAGTCCGGACTGGCCGCTTCTCAACACGGTCTCCATCCAAGACAAATTTCCCTTGAATTCTGGTTCGTACACCATCCGCAGTCGTCGAATTAATGGAAATGTCCGTAGGTTTGAATACTGCGGCTTCCTTTGCATATTCCTTCACGATAGCTGGTGCCACAAAAGCGAATACAAGGATGGACACGATGGCAATCAGTGTGATGAGCGCGCAGAGGAATTGCCATCTTATACTGTCACTCAAACGCTTGGAATACTTGTGAATATCAGAGGCCTCGGACCCTGATGATGAGGCTGATGCTCTCCGAGGCGCCGTGCCGTACGCAACGATATCACCGTCATCGCGGCGGACTAAGAGAGGCGTCGACTCCGACGATAACTCAAATGTTCGAACCG